TGTGGGTGTGGGTGTGTGGGTGGGTGTGGGTGTGGGTGTGGATGTGGGTGTGGGTGTGGGTGTGGGTGTGGGTGTGGATGTGGGAATGGATGTGGGTGTCCGTGCGGGTGTGAATGTGGGTGTCGGTGCGGGTGTGAATGTCGGTGTGGACTTAAGACGACATCAACTACGCACTTACACCCACACCCACACCCACACTCACACCCACACTCACACCCACACCCCACACCCACACCCCACACTCACACCCACACCCCACACCCACACCCCACACCCACGCCCACACCCAAACAAGTGCATTAGTGAGTTTTGTATAGAAATGATGAAGTAATTCATTCACATCGATCATTAGATCAACACACGAAAATTGCATCATGCATTCCCCGCTACCAAATATATATATGTGAATAAAAAGGCAAACATCAGTAGAAAAAAAGTCGATGTCGTTTTATTGTAACCAGAGAGACAAGAGCGATCAATTGTATTGTTTTATTAGCGATAAGAATATCGTCGACACTGAAGCTATTAATTCTAATATTTGCACAAGAAAAAAAAAACATTTCTTTCTCTTTCGATCATTTTATTTCTTGTAATCAATAAGCTTTCCATTTACCTCTTTGTATGTTCGCTTCTCTCCTTATGTTATGACTCAACAAAGATTAACAGAGAGAGAGAGATAAAGATAATTTGTCTACTCTATCGATCTCATTAGATTCATAGGAATTCTCTCCGACTAACCACTCTTCATACAGAATGTACGAAAAAACAATTATTTTTAAAACAATTGGTCTCAAACTGAATGTTCGCTGACTCAAATTTGATACATATCATAGAAAGTACTGTTGTATTGACGAGTATAGGTGTAGTGCGGATTTCGATTAAAAGAAAATGTCAACTCACACACCTACACACATCTTGAAATGATTTATGTCCAAACACACACACTCGTACATAAAAAAGAAACAATCACGAAGGAAGTGACTCAGAAAATGTTGCATTAAATGAATCAGCCTTATAAGTTGGAAGAAAATATAGCAAATAGATGAATTTTAGTGTACATTCTTCCGTTTTATAACTTTTAGACTGAAATAAACAATTTATTTTCCTGGTACTTCTCTCTTTTCATACGACAGATTACAACAATTGGTGTTTAATATAATCAAGTATAATAGATTATCCTGAGAATGTCTATTTCATAGTGTAGCCGTAAGGCAACTATAATAATAAGCCTTTTCAGTTCCGTTACTATATTCTAGAACGTGAATATGAATGATCAGGCAACAAGAAAAAGAGCTAGTTGATACCTCATCATACCCAATTTATCATCCAATATGAAGTTGGAGTACATGTTTTTAGAACCTTGCTTTCTTTCCTTCTTCTTTAAGCTATAAGTATATTCAGATCCACATTCACACCCTAAGACATAGATATAAACGAAACATCTTCATTGACAACCGCTATCATTCATTCTAGTATTGGTCTCAGGTGAACGTCGCACAATAAAGCCATGATTGGATCATTTTTCAATAAGATAAAGTAAGGATTGTTGTTCGTATCAGGATCATAATGATACATTGATTTCTTCAGGAGGAGTCAATTTATCTATAACCCTCTTACGGGTATATCTACAGAACACCTCAATTTTCCGCACCAGGTCGATGAAACAATTCTACGCAACATGTCTGAAGATATCAACCAAACAACTCTCTCATTTCGTCAACTCAGCTACAGCATAGAAGTGAAGAAAAATATTTGCTCTCGAGTCCTTTTGCAGCAAGGTATTGAAAGAAAACAAATTCTATTTAACATTTCTGGAATTTTCACACAAGGGATGAACGCCATCTTAGGTAAATATTTGCAACTGGCTATTATGTTGTGATTTGAAACTACTATCGAAGACTCATTTAGGTCCGACAGGCGGTGGTAAATCCACTTTGCTTGATATTCTTGCTGATCGAAAAGATCGACGAAACTGTACGGGTGAAGTATTACTGAATGGCCAGCATCGCCCTGCTCAGTCTGTGTTTCGTAAAATGGTGGGCTATGTTGTTCAAGATGACATTCTCAGTGGAACACTCACTGTACACGAAAATATTTTTTTTTCTGCTAATCTTCGCCTATCTTACACAATGACCCATAAACAACGGCTAGCACGTGTTGAGGAAGTCATTGAACAATTGAGTCTACATTCATGTGCAAATACCCGAATCGGTACAGAATTTAAACGTGGTGTATCTGGCGGGGAACGAAAGCGTACTTGCATCGCTATGGAATTGGTCTTGTCTCCAAAAATTTTGTTTCTTGATGAGCCAACCACAGGTAAGTGAAAGAAAATAAATATATCTCGAAAAGAATTTAATGAAATATGTGTTCAGGTCTTGATGCATCAACAGCATGTGATGTGATGAAATGCTTGAAAAATCTTTCAAGAAATGGATGTGAGTAGTGAATAACAAATAAACAAGTCTATAGGGAATAATGAAAAATCTTTGTTCTCAATATAGGTACCATTGTTTTTTCGATTCATCAGCCGCGGCAATCAATCTTCGAACTATTTGATACTGTCTTGCTACTTTCTAATGGACGCATAGTCTATCTCGGACCATCAAATAGCCTGCATACTTATTTTATTGATCATGGATTTCCATATCGAGAATCTAATAATCCAGCAGATTTTGTGCTCGATTTACTCATTCAAGAAGCTCGTAATGATCGCATAAAAACTCTATACGAAGCGTATCTTAATTCCTCAATGCATAATTTGATGATAAATCGCTTAAAAGACATTTCGTATGATTCGAATAATGCAAGAGTCCAAGAAGAACAACCATTCCGAAATATTGCATCAGATCTTTTCTATGTTTCGCAACGTACTCTACGTAATGCAATACGAAATTCAGCACTATTGGCATGGCAAAATGCAGTCGCTATTATTCTTGCAGTACTTACGGGTCTGCTCTATTATCAACTACCACAAACAATAGGTTCAGGAGTACAAAATCGTCTTGGAGGTCTTTTCTTTGTTATAGTAAACCAAATTTTTAGTACTGCCACAGCACTAGAACCATTTATCAAAGAACGTGCACTCTTTATTCATGTAAGTATCGGTTAGTAGACACATGAGATTGATCAGTAGGAAAGCAAAACATATCTGTCGTTTTCATTTAGGAACATGTCAGCGGTTACTACAATATGCCAACACTATTCTTTGCAAAATTACTGTGCGATGTTGTACCAATGCGAGTTGTGCCATCAGTGATATTCAGTGTCATTTGTTATCTTATGATGGGATTACAAAAAAATATTGACAAGTTCTTTATCTTTCTTTTGACTATCTTCATGGCTAACATATTTGGTTCAGCTACGTGTTTCTTCATTGCTGCAAGCATGTCCGTTTTTGGTAGGATTTGTCTTTCATTTTTTTTAATATCTGACGTTCAAACTAAAGTACATATCTGAATTTTGCTCTATAGAACTATTTTAAAAGATCATTTATAAATCTATTCGCTTTTTTTCGATGTTATTGTTCATTGATGTTAAAGCCCTGAACGAAACTAATGTGTGTAATGAAAACAGTTTATTTTTAACGTTAGACATAGAATTGTTATAGTTTATGAGTACACATCTACTATATGAATCCAGTTTATTAGGCAAAAGAGAAAAAAAAACTCCAAATCTTAGCAACTAATTTATATTTTCATTAGAAAGCTGATTTTATTTTTAGTAGTAGTTGTTCTTATTTTAACATATATTTAGCGGTGGCTTTAATCATGCTAGTTCTCATCTTTGTTATCATGATGGTTTTCAGCGGTTTTCTTGTCGAATTAGAAAGTGTTTTCAAGTTTCTTCGATGGATCAAATGGGTGAGCGCATTTCGTTATGCATATAATGTTTTAATCATCAATGAATTTCGAAATCTGACATTTTGCATGGTCAATAGTACACACATTTGTCCTTTAAACGGTAGTGAAATCTTGCAACAACGATTCATCGATCACCAGTCAAATTGGGACATGTGGAAATATTTTCTTGCCCTAACGATCATGACTGTAATATTTTTCTTTATGTCTTATATCAAATTATTGTTTATTAAAAAAATTAAATAAACCATCACAATAAGCCGCAACATTGTGGGTGTGAATGTAGGTGGAATTTACTCTTCTACACACATGATGTCTTCCATGGATTTTTAAGGAAACTCAAAAGACAGTCACTTGGAGAACCTAGAGAATACCTAGATATACTAGATATAGGAGATATTAGGAATATAAAAGACAGAAAAAAAGAGACAAATATGTTGTATACATTGATATCTTTTCAGATCATGTTAAGTATATAGAGACGAACAATATATAAGATTCCCATGGGAGACGCAATGCACAGCTCATGTCTGATCGATGTGTTCAGGAACTCTTCTAAACATACATGCAATTATGGTTATATTATTGGCGTTTCTATTTAGTCAGAACAAAAAAAAAACGATGATAAAATAACGAAAAGTACTCGAAAATACGAGACGCACACGACAGATGATAATAAAAGTCTGCAAAAGACAAATAAACGAGAATGAAAACAAGAAAATAATAAGTATATGCTAAAAGAAATTAATAGTTATTTTCGTTATGAAAATTAAGTGGGATACCTTTCAGAAGTTCCGTGTGGAGATTGTGAACTTAAATGGTGATGCTTATGCTCACAAAATTAAATAAGAACTCATGTGTACTGAGTATTTCAACATGAAGTTCCTTTTGGACAGCATGAGGGAAATCTCCTTCGTCCTTTACATTCACATTCGAAAATCACTACAACTAGAACACACATCAGCGCACAAGCTGAGGGTGCCATGAACAGCAGATTTTTAAGGTGCTTAACACAAAAGGATTCCTGTAGCATCCATCGGGGCACCAGTTGCGAATGCCATGTAACTATATTAGAATTTCTAAACATGAAAAGAAATGTGGCATGAATTCTGCAACATAGGATGGGGCGGAAAATGGATTCCGCAGTTCGACACTTATTGTGAATCTCATTTGTTCAGATTATCGCTGTATTAGCAGATAGGGTGTAGGTGTGGGTGTGAAAAAAGAATTGCAAGAAACGCTTACATCCTCTTTATTATATTAATCAAAATTCGCATTGTTATCTTGAGGGTGTGGGTGTGGGTGTGGGTGTGTGGGTGTGGGTGTGGGTGTGGG